TTAGAGCTTTTGACGCAATGCCATGTTGAAAGGGCCAAACCGTGGACCTGTGTGTGTGTGTGTGTATGTGTGCTATATGTGGGGAATAGTTGCGGGAAAACTTCTATTCGGCAATTATTTCACAATGCCTTGCAATTTGTGTTGAACAATAATAATAAAAACGGAACCGTCATATCGGCGAAAATGTGATTTTATTGCTTATGTTTGCGTGCAAAAATTGCAGCGGATAAATATCAGGATGGAAAGAAAATAAAGAAATCTCATCTTTGGTGAAAAGATGTGCCAATTTTATGCGGCAAATGGGAATAATAGCCGAAAAAGAATGAATGGTGAAAAAATGACCCCATTTTATCAACCCTATTTTTGTGCTGGCTGTTTTGCAGTTCGCATATACGAGAGAGTGAGTGAGTAAGCGAGAGAGAGAGAGAGAGAGAGAGAGAGAGGGAGAGAGAGAGAGAAAAGCAAGAACCTTCAAGAAGTTTATTTACATTCGGTTCTCATGAAGTGTAGTATCCAATTTTATTACATGTTCAAGTTTTTACCACACCACACACTCTATGCCGCTATGCGAGCGAGTGCGATACATGTTTAAGACGCTCAAACTCTTTCTTCTTCTTTTTTTTTTTTTTGATCGTCTGTGGAAAGAAGCAAAAGTTGCTGGTGCAAGACGTAAAAAGTGAAAAATAAAATCGGAATGGAATCGCATAGTACAAAAGGCAAACAAATGGAGAAGGGTAACTTGTAATTGCACATTATTGAAAGAATTTCCTTTATGCTTTTCACCAAGATCCTAGCTCAGTATTTTCACATGAAATTCTCCCCAACTTCGTTGAGGGAGAAAGAGAGAGAGAGAGAGAGAGAGAGAGAGAGAGAGAGAGCGACGCAAGAGGGAGAGATGTGAACAATACAAACATTTGCATGAATAATGCAAATGAAGATTTTTGATTAAAATTGTTTAATTAAATTTGGCTCCATTCTCTTCACGGCGGTCACCACTGGAATTTTCAGCTCAATTGAGTCTCGGTGAGTTCTTCTTCGTCCAATTCGATACGCCCCACAATTTAGTAATTTTACGGAATGGGAAAAATGGACGGGAAAAACTTTTACGTTAGTATTATATAAACTTAATAAGACCAACCGCAGCGCAATTTCTGATAAAACATTGCTGTTTCTTAATAGGGCAGAGATTGAGCTCTTCGTTATTTTGCTTTTGTTTAAATACCACAATGAATTCTACCCATTTATTTCCTAATTTTAATAAGTATGTTGATTAACACTACTATGATTACTATGACGAAACCTTTTTCAGGCGAATAGCTCATAGTTTTCAAAATTGCGAGACAGACAGACAGCGTAAGAGGCAGAGAGAGAGAGAGTGTGTGTAAGGGAGGAGGTTCAACGTGAATACATTTAAAAGCTTTTTAAAAATATGTTGTTTGATGGAAAAGAGTTGGTCGCTCGAATGACTTCTTAAACCATTTATCTTTTGCTCTGTTTTCAAAGTTTTCAAGCCAATTTAATTAATGGGATTAAAAAAGCATTTGAAGAGAATTACAAAAGCAATGACTTTCGTTCAGCGCATTAAAGTTTCATTAAACAACGCCAGCCAGCCATTCAGCTCAGATAGATAGATGTTCTAGCTCGATGCGTTCAACCCATTTTCCGAATTCGTATGTGCGTCGCATATATGTATATTCGATCTAAATGCTGCAATATTCAAATCGTTATCGAGAAATATATCAAACAAAATCACATTTTGGATTCAAAAAGGGTTGTTCGGTATCAAACGCTCGTTACAGCACATATCATTGAATAGCATTGTGTTTATCAGGACGAAATGGGTGGGAAAAAAATGAAAACAACACATAGTCATAAATTCAAATTGAGCTTAAACTTATTGTGCAAACGATTCAATTTCAAATTATCTTCTGTGGCATGAATATGAATGCAAACAAACACATGTAGACACACAACCGAGTCAGAGATTGAGAGCGTCGTTCAGCACAACTGAATCCTTTCACACACACACACACACACACACAAAACGGCTTTTAATAAATGCAAATGCGCTGATTTTGAATATTGTGATTACATGCTTTTTGGGTTAAACAAATGGAAATGACGGCAAGCAGGTACAGGGATTTGCAATTAACATTATCTCTTGACTTACATGACTTTTACAATGCGAAGCCAACAACATGGTTCCAACAATTGCCAGGAGGCATATTTTCCTGTTCCTCGGCTGCATCATCACTGATAATAAACTGGTGTATGTACGGGCTTTCACTCGTTTTTGTTGGCACACGTCGTCTCTCTTTCAATGTTGCAAATTTTTTTTTTGTACTGATTCTACTTCCACCGCTTCTGTTGTTGTTGTCGTCGTCGCTTTATATATATATGTTACACCTTCTGACTGAAACGTTCTCGTCGTCGTCGCGGTTGTTGTAGTCAAACACAGCCAATGTGAAATGAAAACAATGACTTTTTTATTCTCTTGTGAAAAGTGAAAACTATCTTTTGTTCACGATTATTCTCGTCTTTTTTGACGCGTATTTTGCTTCCAGCGAATTTATTGCGTTGGAAAATCTCAACGAACGATAAAACCGAAGAGAGAGAAAAAAAAAATTATAAAATATACAGCCACCTGAATTAGTAATGACTATTCATATAAACGCGGGTCGGTTGGCTTTGGTAGCGTGACACACACGAGTAACACTCCTTGATTCTGACTGTGAGAAAAATGTGCTCTCCACGGTACGACCGATTCGGTGAAAACAAGAAGTTGTTTTGAAAGCATTTTCACAAATGCGTGTTCTCATATACCATTCAAGGATGAAATATTCGCGTAAAAAAATCTCAGCGCAATCGCATTTTCCAGCTTTTGTATAACCAACAAAATTGCATAGCAAAAAAGCAGTTAGAACAGCAACAGCAAGCAGAGAGCCACGAGAAGTGGATAGATGCTGATTCAAAATATACACAGTTGAATGATGATACAAATTCACCACACCCAAACATCCATTCACCTCAACTGTTTTTTTTTTTACATTGACAGACGCTTGACTTTGACGTTTCGGACACGTGTGTTTACTTCTAAACAATACCATCAAAACCTTACTTTTGGACAATTACTGTAAGCATGAGCATGGAAGTTGATCCGATAATTCCTGAAACGATTCAGGCGCGATTTGTTTCGGAAAGTGGTGAAGAAGCTGGGCCACCATTGGATTTACCGACATCAGTGAATATCTCACAGTTGGGCCGAATATGCAATGCCATTCTCCAAAATGTAAGTGTCGAAATTTCTGTGTGTTTGTTTGTGAACCGATTGTGAAATCAACAAGTTTAAATGAAAAACCAAATTTTCATCTTTTTTCAGGAGGACCCATTGAATTATTTATTTTTCATAAACGACAAAGAAGTTGCAAATTCGTTGGAGAAAACATTGGATTTCAAAACCTTTGATCATGAAGCTGTTGTCAATATTGTTTATCAGCCGCAAGCGGAATTCGTTGTGAGAACTGTAACACGATGTACGTCATCGATGCCGGGTCATGCCGAAGCGGTTGTATCCATTCAATTCAGCCCAGACGGAAGACAATTAGCTAGTGGTTCGGGTGATACAACGATTCGACTGTGGGACTTGACGACTGAAACACCTCTTTATACATGCACCGGGCACAAACAATGGGTTTTATGTGTATCTTGGTCACCAGATGGAAAGAAATTGGCAAGCTCCTGTAAAAATGGTGAAATTCGAATATGGGATCCTGAAACGGGCAAACAAGTCGGCAAACCAATGTCTGGTCACAAAAAATGGATCAATTGCTTGAGCTGGGAACCATACCATTTGAGTGCGTCATGTCGGCGTATTGCTAGCGCTGGCTGTGATGGTGATATTCGCATCTGGGATGTACTCTTGTCGCAGTGCATTCGGATTTTAACCAGTCATACGAACTCCGTAACGTCTGTTCGATGGGGCGGTTTAGGTTTGCTTTACACCTCGTCCAAAGACAGAACCATCAAAATGTGGAGAGCCGAAGATGGTGCACTGTGCCGAACAATGACCGGTCATGCTCATTGGGTTAACAACCTAACGCTGAACACAGATTACGTACTACGTGCCGGACCATTCTATTTGGGTGTTCATGATGATGATAAAATTTCGAAAGCAAGACAAAGTAAGATATCAAATAATTTGCAAAGTGGAAAATCATTTTCAACTTTTGTTTTTTCTTTTCTTTTCTCCAGAAAATAAGAAAACCGCACTCGAACGATACAAAGAAGTGTGCCCGAATGATGTTGAATCACTTGTCTCCTGCTCAGATGATTTCACTCTTTATCTGTGGAATTCCGACAAATCCAAGTTCATCACTCGGATGACCGGCCATCAAAATGTTGTTAATGACGTGAAATATTCACCAGATGTCAAGTACTTACTTTATTTTTTCACATGTTTTTTTTTTCTTCAAATTCAACCAAAATTTATACCGAACAAATTAATCGAATCGAATCGAAATTCTTCTTTTTCAGACTAATTGCTTCAGCTTCATTCGATAAATCAGTACGTTTGTGGCGTGCCTCAGATGGTCAATTCATCTGTACATTCCGTGGTCATGTGCAGGCTGTTTACTCAGTGGCCTGGTCAGCAGATTCCCGTTTATTGGTTACAGGAAGCAAAGATTCAACGTTGAAAGGTAAACACTTACCTGAATAGTTTAAATTTATCTTATCTTATTGGTTGAGTATCAGAAAATGTTTAAAAGTAAAATTTGTTCCAAATTCAATTCCATTTTCTGTTCATTTTCTATAGTCTGGAGTGTCAAAGATAAGAAACTGAAACAAGAATTGCCCGGACACGCTGATGAGGTGTTCGCACTGGATTGGGCTCTGGATGGAAGCCGAGTTGCATCAGGTGGAAAAGATAAAGTCGTGAAAATGTAAGTAAATCGTATGATTCTCATATTTATTCATATTTTATTTTAATCGATATAGTACAAAACAAAACTCGGATTTCAACTTAATCTTATTTCCATTTTCAGCTGGGCTTACTAACAAAATATAATGTATTTGTTTACTGATTTTGAAATAAATCGCACGTTTATCTTCAGAAACAATGAGAAATGTGTTTTAATTTGTCTATCATCTATTTATTAAAGAATGTGACATCATCAGCCACAATGCTTGTGGTGGTCCGTATATTTCCGTCCTTATCTCGGATTTCACCATAAGAAATTCTACCGAATAGCAGCACTCGTTGACCCTTTGTTAGGTAGTTCTTGATGTTTTCCCGGATAATCGGATTGAATACTGCAACTTGATGCCAATCGGTCCGTTGAGCCCAGTCACCGTTCTCACATCTGTAAATCAAATCACATTATGATTAGAAGAATATCAATTGGACATGCAACAAATGTTTGTATGAGATAAATCGAATCAGCTTCGTGTTTCAGTGAAATGTACAAATTGAAATTACTTGTAATTGGTGTGTGTTGCCATTGAGAATGTCATAACTGGTTGGTCTTCATTTCCCCGCAATTGTGGATCGGATCCAACGCGCCCAAGCAAAGTCACCTTATTGATTGCTGCACAGAAAAACAAAAACAAATTACACGCACATTCTAACCTCAAACCGAGTTTAGCCGACACTTACTTTTTTCCAAACGTTTTGGAAGTTCGTTTGAAAATCTGGCAACGCTCGTTACATTGGTCACGTTTAGGCTGTTTGCCAATGTGCCAATCAATTGTGGCTTTCGGAATAAATTGAACATTTTTGTCAAGTAATTCGGTGCAAAAAAAACAGCTTCTCTCTATGGTGAAATATAAGTTTGCGCCAGATGAATGCCGTAGCAATGACAGCCCATCAATGGAGTGAAGTTGGTTGTATGTCCAAACGCATGATGATGAAATTCATTCGCACTAACATTCCCAAAGTGACAACAAAAAACATATGATTGCTGGTTTACATGCCCATTTAAAAGGCGATTGCATTTGGTTGATATTCCAAAATGGGAAATAGATAACAAATAATGCTTAGTAAATGAAATAATTTGCAATAGTCGCAATAAGCCATAGTTGATTTGTTGCAAATTTGCATGTCGAAACTTTATATATTGGACGTTATCAAATGTGCTGGCATGACCAGACACTCACTCACTCACACACAACTACAAATAAATAAAAAACCGTGTTATTTGTTTCTGTTTGTTACCGAAGTGTCAAATCATCAAAGAAGAACACTTTATATACATTTGAGTCAACAAAGAATCGAATCGACTGTACGAAGTTATAGATTTTATTTGTCGATAATTTCCGTAGTTTTTATGTAATGTGGTCAAATAAAATGCAATCGAGTGTGTATTAATTTGTCGGAAATAAAACGTGCATTTGGCAAAAAAATCGCGTGAAGAAGTATTCGCTGCTCGAACAAACCGAAGTAGACAAAGAAATTGGAACCATAACAAAAAATTACAAGCGATTTGTTGAAAGTAGAATTCAAGAGCCCAGTTAAAAGTTAAGTTCAATTGAAAATGTACGCGTCACATATCCACTGAGATTGTTGCTTGTCCGTCGTTTGAAGGCGCATTTACTCTATTTTCGTCACCGTTACCCAAATTCATTTCGACGACAGATTGTTAGAAATGCCAACAATGAAATTATTTGTGACGATTTTGCAATTTTTATTGTTTGCTTTCTTTTTGGTTTCATTCGCTGTCTTCAGTTTTTTTGCCCGTGCCCTGTTCATTTAGACATCAAATAAACCGCATCAACGATGATCATACGATAAAAAAAAATTAAAGCGTTAATTGAATTGACTGTGTGTACAGTACAATGTGCATAGTGCATTCCAGAGTGAAGGGCAACCGCTGTGTCGTGTATTTGTGCAGTAAGGAGATATGTGTGTTATAACGAGAAAGAGAAAAAAGAACATTTGACGAACAAAGAAAGCGAATGCATGATGAATCAAGAATTGTGTGTTTGCAAACAATAACAGTGTGTTTTATCAGTTTTATTAAGAAGAAAAGTGTTGAATTTTGTATAATTTTAGTTTATTATTTTCTTCCATGCTTCTTTTCACAACAATTGCAAAGAACGTAGTGATTGCAACGTTTAATGTAATCAAATTTATCGATGCAAACCCAAAACGAGTCTAACAATTTCGAACAGTTTTATCGAGTGCCAGTTTGCCAGCTCTGTAAACGTGTTTGTTCAGAAGTTTCCGTTCAAGTTTTGAAAACTTCTCTTCAGACTTGGTAGCCCGATCCTAAAACGTTGAAAATGTCTTCCGAAGCGCAGCGTGATATTCGGTTTGCCGCCGAAACCATATACAGAAACGCTCACCGGTCTCCATTGCTTTTAAGTAAACTACTCATTTTTTTTTTATCTATTTAAACAAATCACTTTCATAGTAATCTAATTTAAATAATCTCAATTGTACGTCATTTAGCGCGGTCACATCACACACAGTTAGATCTTTTGAGTTTTATCAATGAAGATTACATTGCTGGCTATACACAGGATGGTCAAATGTCGACTGTTCGCCGATTTTTTTGCTTATTTGTTGTATTCGATCTATTTTTCATTTCGATGCTTTGGTTCATTTGCATTATGGTATGTATCTCTGTTGAATGTACAGTGTGCACAGACGAAGTGGAGAAAAGATTTGACTAAAAAACAATTTCATTTTTCTTGCAGATGAACGGTGATACCATTTTGAATGCCCTGAAAGTACAAGTAGTGCATTACACAATTCAATCGTCACTTTTCGACATTATTTTTGCAGCTTTTGTTCGTTTTTTATTGCTCGTCGTTTTCTATGGAGTTTTTGCTATCAATCATTGGAGCATTATTGTTGTAAGCGATCGTCTTTTTTTCGTTCAATACCTTATCATTTATCGTTTTATCTAGGCACCTGTTAATTTTCTTTCCATTTTTTTTCTTCTGTACTTCAGTTTACTACAACTGCTTCCTGTGCATTTTTAATTGGAAAAGTCTTCTATTATAATGTATGTCATCGACTTCAAAACAATGAGTCACTTCTATGCGTTGTTTATTATCACGTTTTCCAAATCATTTGACCAAATATTGATATTTTTGATATTTTTTCAGTGGATGGTGTCTGCACAGCCAATCATTCAAGTACTAATGATTATCGTATCATGTCTTTTGGCTTGGGGTGAAGCATGGTTTTTAGACTGTCGAGTGATTCCACAAGAAAAAAATGCGCAACGATTTTATCGACTCTTAATGGTATTTTACTAACAATCTAGTTTATATATGTCAGCCCTATATGTCACCGATTTTTATTTATATATTGAATTTCAATTGACGCATCAATTTAACCTATATTCAACAGTCACAAACGGATGATAACGAAAGATCGCCACTGCTAGAATCATATTTAAATACAATTCACAACGTTGGGCACACAGATAGTAGTGTAGCCAATTTTTATTCACCAATCGAATCGGTACACAATAGTGATTCGGAAGGGGACGAGGATGATTTGTACAGGAACAAAGCTATCGCTGATGTTCATGCAGCCCTTGAGCTGTTGGACTGCATCGATTGGAAGGTGGAAAAAATCATTACATCAACCGGAGATAAAATCCAATCGATTCAACGAAAGAAATTCGGCAAAATTTATCGTTTAACGGTAAGAGAGAAGTTCGGCAATTTTGCAGCACTTTTTCTTTTGTCTTTCTAAATCTTCTCTTATTATTATAAGAAAATTACTTTGCACAAATGTTCAACATCAATTCAAAATCGGTTTAATTTCAGGCTCAAATGAATCTACCTGCAAAGACACTACTTCATAAGCTATACTATGGAATTGATGGAATACCAACATGGAATCCAACGGTGCTGGAGGCTAGAATTCTCAAAGTGAGTTTATTTGAATATTCTTCAAGCTACAAAACTACTTTCACATCGAATCATTGCCTATAGAAACGAAATTTATTTAACTTTTCAATCACTTCAATGTATTCCACAGAAAATAGATAATCATACCGACATAACTTACAGTGTCAGCGCACCTGGTGGAGGTGGTCTGGTCGACAGTCGTGACTTTATAAATTTAAGAAGTTGGCAATTGATAAAAAATGGAAATATCATCGAAGACATCGATATATTCAACGATAATCGACCAGATAAAGACTCTCCACACAAATCAAATGAAACGGTGCAGCCGATGAAGAAATCAACGAGTGAGATTAATTTAATGGAAAATCAGCAACAAGGTTCAGACCTGGATCAGTCAGTGTATTCGTTAAGCAAGAGTTTGGGTGCAAAAGTGTTTAGCGATGATGAATGTCTGTCGCCGGCGCCGGAAATGTTTAGCAGCAAAAGTACAACCGATGATGCCGATGAATTCGTTGATGCGAACGAAACTCAGGGTGCTGAAAGTACCAACGATTTATCGCATCGATCAGAAGCTGTGGATCACATAAAGAATATTACGAAAGACTTGTGTGATAGAATGTACATTGTCTCTGGTGTTAGTATTAAGTATGATCAAATGCCTGCCGTTTCGAAGTACACACGGTGAGTATCTCCTACGCATAGAGTAAAAAAATTCAACTCAATCAAATAATCCAATCGAAAAATTGCATTGCAGCGGTGAAACTTTAATGGGATGCTGGGCGATGAGAGAATCCAAATCCGATCCGAATACTTGCACATTTGAATGGATCATGTGCTTAGATTTGAAAGGGCGATTTCCACGCTTCGTGTTAGATAAGGTAAACGTACTTTCAATAAATACTTACGCTTATCAGCAGACATTGTCCGTATTTATTGTTGATTATTAATCCTGAATATTCTATTCTTAAACTCTTATCGGAAATTTTCGATTCTCAGGCGTACACGGGCGTTATGCAAGAATTCATGAGTCATCTGCGAAAATATTGTGAATCAAGCGAAGCTGCAGCGTGAAAATTGGCACCGTGCATCGTCCACAATAAATTTCATCGTACACAGAGTTTACCATATAGATCTATATATATTCCGTCATTCATTACTTACAACCTGTCATATTTTTTTTTTTGTGAATTGATTTCCATTTTATTTTCGTTGATAATAAATGAACAATTCATACTTTTCTCTTTTGGAGGCAATTTTTTTCTTTTTGTAAATCACATATTTTGATCGAAACAATTATAATAATAAAAACAAACAATTTGTAACTCCTTAAAGGCCAGTCTCTTTATTCAAAAACAGTTACATCACTCCATTAAAATTGGGGTCTGTGATTTACACACAGATTGGATATGAGAAAATTGCAAGCTATTTTTCATAACATTCACTTCGAGATCGAAAATGCCCTCATAAAACGCAGGCATCGTTTATCTCAAGTTGAACAATACGGAAGTAGAAAATCAATCGTTCACCCAAATTCTCCCTTTACTCTCGTAACATTCGGGGAATTTGTGAACACCTCGTGTTGCGAACACCCAATTCAATATTATTGGTGATAAAAATAATAAATTCCAGTGTTTCCTATCTGTTACTGTTTTTTTGCTAAGCAAACACACTATCAAATGCTGACTAATTTAGGAATTTATGACCCTTTTCTGTTATCACATATCTTGTGCGATTCGACAAAATATGTTACAGATGTAAAGTCAACATTTAGTAGATTTTCTAATCACAACATTCACAAACCTTAGCCTTTTTTTCATGAAAAAAAAAACGGAATGAATCTTTGAATTTGGAATGAATCATGTCTTATTTTCTGTTTGCACGCGATAAACGTGGGAATAATGTCCAATCACAATTATTTCACAACCCAGAGCCCAATCGCATCTTTTTTTTTTCGAAAAAGCGAAAAATGTGCATAGCTTTTGTTTGGAAAAAAAAAATCATTCCGTATCTTTTATATTAAGAATAATTAATTATTATATTAAAAACGCCGATTATGATGGAAGTTACTTGTGTACTGTTGAAATGAACAGTATTTCTATTTTACACGTATGTATCATGATTTCGTTCTTAATAATTTCATTTCAATTTTTCCTATTCTATTATTAATCTATACATTCTACAGCTACAAATATTGTATGCATAAAGATCATTAATTAAAGTAAGTATAGCAACTGGTAATGCATTGAAATTGTAATGCATGCAATTAGTCATTCACAATGCGTATAAATGCAATAGAAGCAGATTTACTGTGTTGTTTGGGGGAATGTTTCGATGTTGATGTTCAAAAACCCAAATGAATAATTCAAGGAATCCACTGTGTCGTTGGTTTGTTGTTCATCTTCTTTATCACAAGAACTTTTTCTCTTCTGGTTCTTTTTCAGACGATTCGGCTTGCGTTTTTTTGAGTTCTTTGTAATATTTTTTCAATTCATTTATACATTCGTGACTTTTGTTTTTCCATAAAACCGTTGAAAGTCTGCCAATCGATGGGTCGTCACTGTTTCGTTGCCATCGCAATAGCAATTGGTAAATGACTTCCTCGACACTTATGTGGAAGTATTGTTCTTTGATTTGTGCGATTTCAGCATCGGAAATCTCCAAATCTCGAAACACCATGCGCCAATTATCCCCGATGGATCGTGCAGCAATTCGCATGGTTGGCGTCTCAATCGTATCGTTGCAGTTCATTAGCTCTAATCCAGAGAGATAAAATCACAGATAAAACATTTATTTAGTACATCATAAAACTAATAGTTACGTAAAAAGCGAGCTATGTGAATGAAGGCAATATTTCGAAGAGTGAAAGTGCTTACCGACTAATGATCTGGTCTTTTTTGGAGTCGCTTTATCTTCGAAGCTTCCATTGTAGCTGATTTTTCGGGAGCTGGAACCAGCCACATGATATGTATTGCCGAACAAATGAAGGCCATTGCTGTTGTTGAAATTGAAATTTTGCTGGGATTCGATGGTTACATTTTGATTGGCTTGTTGCATACTGTTATAGATCAGTTGCATGGGTGACGTTGGCACAACCTGTGTTGCAATGGATGGAACGATGGGAAGCGTTTGCTGATTTTCGTTGCTGGCATTTTCAATATTCGATTCAGCCAGATGTTGTGAACCATTTTCCATTGGAACGGCGTCGGTTCTTAGCATCGATTTCGAATTTGGCGATACAATTCGCGATATAATGTTATTGCAATAGCCAAATACTGATTTCGTTTTCATTTTTTTCTTATCTAGATTACTCTTCACGACCGCGCTCATTTTTCGTTTTTCAATAATTTTATGTTTATATGGCAACAGCAGCACCGAACTCTGTTCACTGTGACCGAGTAAACAACATAATTTGATGATGACGGTCGTTGAATTTTAATTAGCTGCACCAATTGTAAACTTTCCCCCGCACTATATTCGCCGAATAATAATCCAGTTTTCAATACAAACAAAGCGATTGTGCAACTTCTACCAAACAGTGATTACTCATCCGCATGCAAATAATTTCCCCAAAAAATTTTTTTTTTTTTTCACTGCGAGAACATCGAACAGCGTATAAAATATATTGAAGATGACCTTTGTTATACTATACATCCAAAAACCCAGCCATAGCACAAGAGCCAAGAATTAGCACTGGAATGAATACATCGAAGCAGATCAAAACACTTAAAACTGTCTTTGTTGAATGGTCAAATGATCATTTTGCCCATATGGAGATGTCAATAGAACATAGACAATCACGTAGACCACTTTTGTAATTATAAAACTGAGAATATGCTAACACACCGAGTGCTAACTCAACAAATATGCATACAAAAAAGTAATACGCAAAATACAATCAAACGACGAGCAACCTGTTGGGGAAATTGCCAATGTATTTGAATGAAAAATAATTGATGATTTTTTTTTAATGATTCGAATGCAGCGCCACCACATCAAATGTGACACTTCTTATCAATTCGCTCAGAAAAAGTGACATTTAATGTGTAGCAGCAACAACCGCAACAGCATCAATCAAAACAAAATCGACGCAATGATTCAACACACTTCTTAGAGCAAATCCCAAGTGAATTTAGATTTTAAAAAGTTTTATTTGGACAAATAATGATTTCATTTGAAATTGTGCACAATATTTCGAGCGTACAGCGTACCCGTGAATAATAATGATTTTTAGTGAAAAATGGACTCAATCGTATCTTGTGTTCGCAATTCTGATCGGCGCTACGTTATTCTTGTGTGGGTTTTTCCCCCTTAGCTACACCAGCAACGAAAGAGCTGAATCATACGATTTGCCCGACTTTATCGATGATATTCCGTAAGTGAAACGCATGTGACTGATTTGATTTGACATATCTAAAAGATATAACCTTTTGTTACAGTCTTAATAAATCAATCTATCGGCGTCATGTGTCGCGAACGGTGCTCATGGTCATCGATGCGATGCGTACTGATTTTGTCTACAATCAACACAACACCTCAATGAAATATCTCAATAAAATGATTAACGATGGCACAGCGTGCATGGTGAACCTAAATGTTGAAGTGCCAACGGTGACAATGCCAAGAATTAAGGTAATGTTTTTGTAGTCGAATGCAAAATTTTCATGTTTCAATTCCACCGTTGAATACGTACCGTACAGGCAATGACTACTGGGACGATACCGAATTTCATTGATGTTGTCTTAAATCTGGGTAGCTCCGAACTTAATATGGACTCATTTTTACATCAAGTATACGACAATGGTGGCAAAATAGTCTTTTGTGGTGATAATACTTGGATAAAAATGTTTCCCGAGATGTTCCATCGCAAGCTTGAGAATCAAGACTCGTTGTATGTGAATGACTTTTATGAAGGCGACAAAAATATTACGAAAAAATTGAGCGTCGAACTGAAGAGAAACGATTGGGAATTGCTAATATTACATTTTCTCGGACTCGACCATATTGGCCATGTGGAAGGTCCATTTAGCTCAAAAATACCAACCAAACTGAGAGAAATGGACACGGTTGCTATGCACATTCACTTGGCTCTGTTGCATATGGTAAATGTTCATAACCTTTCATGTTCACACATTCAATGTTTTATTGGACAATGTTTTCTAATATTTCAGAGACAATCTAGTGAAGAGCCGCCACCATTGTTCATTGTTACTGGAGATCATGGTAAGTTTTTGAATAATATTCAATTTGAATTTCAAACTACGTTTGCAATTTTTTTTGAAACAATGTTGTACAAAAGGAAACCAATTCACTTTTTACACCTTTTTTTCATTCAAGGAATGAGAGATAGCGGTGGCCATGGCGGTAGTTCATATCCAGAGATAAATGTACCGCTCATTTTCTTCGGGCCGTCTTGTTCACCAACGGGATATTCGTACAATCAAATCGATATACCTGCCACACTATCAGTTTTATTTGGGCTTCCAATTCCTGCATCTAGCATCGGTGTCATCATTCCTGAATTATTAACCACTCTTTCGATGGAGCAAAAACTATACGCTTACAATTATAATGGAGGACGATTGTTACAAAAGCTAATTAGACTTGATGGTGCACGTAAATACGATGATGAAGGTGAGAATATCTTCTATTTTGTTTTTGAGTTGTCTCTTTCACGTGAACGAAAAATGATACATTTTTTCTCATTTTCTCTCTCTCTCTCTCTCTCTCTCTCTCTCTCTCTCTCTCTCTCTCTCTCTCTCTCTCTAGAGTTCTTCGCCCGATTCATTGTGGCCAAAAACGCGCATAAGACGTTCCTTCAATTAAACACAAATTCTACTGAACAAATCCACGTTTTTGAATCTGCTGAACGAAATTACATCACCGCGTCAAAGGCAATGAGCAAAAAGCTGGCCGATTCCTGTGTCAACTTTGATCATGTTGCCATTTCCATTGGTTTGGTGTGTTTAGTCACGGTTCGTATTTTGTCTTTCAATCCAAAATAGTATTGTAATTCAACTAACATTAATCATATCCCGTAGGCATCACTTTGTGTGGCACTGTTAGTCGTATCAAATACTGGCGATGTGACGATTTCGCTGAAATACACATCAATCTTTGGATTGCTAGCTAGTTTACTCCATTTAAATTTGATTGGAGTTTCACTAACAAAGTCAAGTCTGACAGCAATTCCATTGTTGGGATTGATTTACTCCGTGGTTGTGCTTAATATTCAAATACTATTAACGCTGTGTCGGACTACAGAAATAGTAAACTCATTGAAATCAATACGAACCACGAACAACTTTTGCAAGTTCCTAACGTTTGGAATAGTTTTTCATGGGATATCAACGTCAAGCAGTAGTTTCATTGAGGAAGAGCATCAGATTTGGTACTATCTGAACAATACAATTTGGATAATTCTTTATGCGATAGAAACAAGGCATGCGCTGAATAAAAAGCAAAAGGAAATCAAAAAGGAAGCATCAAGCGAAGAAAATCCATCTACTGCACAACATCATCTGAAGTGGGCGCTTCTATTTTGTGGCCACTTAATTGCACGTCGTCTCAATCAAACTGGTGACAAATGGCTGAATGTGCCCGACATTGGAGATTGGTTACAAATGGAAGAGAATCGCATTTGGAACAGTTTGTTCATGAGCACCTCTCTTCTATTGGTCTACTTGACCTGTATGGATTTTGGAAGTATTCTCACCAATGTTCTCACCATTACTGCATGTATGCTGATTTACTATTATCGCACGCTAAATGGATCGGTTTATTTGGCTGGAATCAAACCGTCTGAGTGAGTAGAATTTTCACTTCCTTTTTTCTACTTGACAATATCGAATTAATGTTCTAAATTTAAATCCAATTCTAAAATATCCATTCATTTCTCTTTTCAGCTCAACTGGTACCTGTGTGACACTCTTTTGGTTGAACATTTTTGAAATCGCGGCCATCAATTACGTGCCAATTTTGTACAGTGCTTTCAAATCAAAGTTGAATCGCTTTGATATTAGGTCAATTTTTGGAACACTCGTTGTTCTATCGACGCTTGTCATGGCACTCACGCACAAACCCCATAATATATTCTTAATCGCCCTGTTGCTCTTTTCGAGCAGCAAAATTAAGCAAATTGGCCATCTATTCGGTTCAAAGTCCACTGAATCACTGGTACAATGTGTGTTGCATTTGTGGATTGGGAAGCAGTTCTTCTTCTACCAAGGAAATTCGAATAGTCTGGCTTCGATTGATCTCAACGCAGGATACGTCGGCCTAAATACATTCAATTTCATTGCTGTTGGATTGCTTCTTACTCTTAACACGTTTAGTGGACCTATCTTATCGTTCATAACATTCGCCGAATGGAATCAACAATCACTACACTCAACTGATGCCAAACATGTTCTACCTCTGATTGTGTTATTGATTGCATTCCCATTTACATTGTATGTGTTCATTGTTTTAATGATGCGTCACCACATCTTCATTTGGAGTGTGTTCTCTCCGAAATTACTGTATGATTTTTACTATTTGTGTTTAATGTACCTGATGTGGATTTCTGTACGATTAATGCCAAATATAGAGTAAGTTATGAGGATTTCAAAGAGAAAACAGACAGTTTTCTGGTGAAGAAATCATTTTAATAGGACAAATTATATTTACTAGTTATTAGCAGTATTCTTCCATGAACATAACGTATACTACTCTGAATAATTTATTTAACAAAATCCAGACATGAACCAAATAAATTGTGAAAAAATTACAACAAAATGTTTTATTTGTTATTTTTTTTAAATAATTTCTAATTTTCATTAGATGCTTGATAGATTCCTGATAAAACTATAATTTATTTAAATTTGACTTGAATTCAATTTAAAACATACATTCGATATTCGTGTTTTTTTCAATATATACACCAAATACTTGGTCTCAAAATAAAATATTCAAACCTAAAGTATGCCTTTTTGTTCCCCTCTTCGTACTCCGTATACTTAAAATCGACTGACATTTCACTTGACAAATCTCTTACAGACATTTCACTTGACAAATCTCTTACAGCGTATTGTGGCACTGAATCATTGTCGTGTAAATAATAAAAGAAAAATAATTGCAACATCTAAATATTTCTGATATCACCTCGAATTCGTGCAACATGAGATGGTATTTAGGTGTTTTAAACTGTGTTTGAACATTTTTTTCTGTTTTGTAAATTGCAAAATAAATTGTGAAAAATGATTGAAAGCTGCCCTAAAAAACGTATGGTGTTCGCAATAACTTTACTAACAATGTGAGTCTTCTGCTTTGCGTATTTTCTTCACAGAATTTTTTTTTATTGATTCAAAGAAAATTGAATCGTTTTCGATTGTTATTTTTCTTCAGACTAGCTAATTTTTCCTCATATTTCAGAGCCACAATAATTGTATTAATCGTTGAATCACATTGGACTGAGTCGTCACCACGTCGTAAATTTGTCATTGAAAACAATTCAACGTGTTATTTACGCGAAGAATTCGAAATTATTCGAGATTGTCATCCGTGCACAGGTATGAATGTAGCAAAGAGTGTCAATTCAGACAAATCAATTAGAACATGTTAAATTTATTCATTGAAAATTGCCAAAAAAATGTTAACGAAACTTCTAAATTCACCTCTGAATCGTCTCAACAGATTTCGAAATAGCCAGCAAGAGTCAGGGAGTTTGTGTGCATACTCATAACAAAGAAGTGTTGCGGTGTAAGAGTGGTGAAACTGTCTCTAGAAGGTAATATCAACATTTTGAAAGAAAATCGTGATTTATTTTAACAAACATAAATTTTCATTGTTCTGCAGTTGTGACAAGGTTGCTTGGGTTGACGAGCGAAATTTCTGGACATTTGAAGGAATTTTACTGGTTGTGTCGGCACTATCAACATCTGTAACATTTCTACGGCAACGATCGTTGGACCGAAAGGTTATGCTCAAAGTGCAACGACAGCTTGAGCAATCGGTGTGAAGAACTGCGTAGTTTTTAAGACGAAAAATGTTTCACAAATTATATTTGGAAGCATTCACAGATTTATGTGATGAAAGTGAGGATAGGATAGTTGTAACATTAGAAACTTTAATTGTACTATTTGTACTGGAATGTGTCGAGCGGCCGTCGAATATACAAGTGTACCTGGTTTCATCCGGTGGCAGTCGATCAACTGATGCAGCCGTTGAAATTAGCAAAAAATCGGTTCAGTTTACAATTTTACCGGCGGCCACATATGCTTCAGAAGAGGCTAGCAACTGTAGTTTTCCGGTGATTGTCAGTGAGAATGTGACTATAGCGGGATTGTGCAGTGTTTGCCGAGCAATCGCAAAATATGCCGATGAGAAACTTAAATATTTGCTTGGATTTAAAGAGACCTGTCTACATTCGCCGTCCGAAGCATCACCATGGACGAAATTTTGCGAAATCGATATTGTCACTTGCACCAAGTCAGTGTTGAAATTCCACAAACAAATCAATTCAGAGGATTTTACACTGCCGATAGAGTTGGGATACCTTGAAAGCCATTTGCGACAGCCAGTCAAAGCACATAATATGTGCAAATTGACTTTGGACTTTGCAAAAGGGCTTAAGATCAACAATTCTCAGCCTATGGACAATCCGACAGTTTCGAATGATTTAAATGGAATAGATTCCGATGGGGCAAATAAAATAAATCAAAAGCAGCGAAAACCGAGCAACAAGAAAATTATGGTCAAGAATATCAGTGTAGAACACACATTCGTTGAGGGCCCTCAAATATCAATCGCAGATCTTATTCTATTTCCATTTATTTGGCTTATGCAGGCAATTCTAGAGAAAACGGCCACTGAAAGTCTCGAACAGAAGCTACCACTCACATACAAATGGATCGACGTAGTAAAAAATCATCCGTTAATCACAGAATGCATGACAATTTTAATCGAACCGACAGTACCTCAACGTCAACAAATCAATTACATCGTGCAGGACAGTGACTCATTTACACTGTACAAACGGGAAGCAAAGCGAAAGAGATCAAAAATGCGCGTTTTCACTAAAGAAGATAAAATCGAACAGTCGTTGAGTAAAATTAATCAGCTTGGAATCGAAATATCATCACTGTCGCACGATCAAAATGGAAATTATGAAGATTTCGATTGGTCATTGCCGTATGATGCTCTTCCCGAAGGTGGCAATTTGCCGGAGAATCGGCTGCAACGGAAGAAAGAGCAACTCTTCAGTTTGGCCTGGGAGATAATTGCGATAGCCAAAGAAGGTGATCGTATCGTTGATTTCTGCAGTGGTCAAGGCCACTTGGCCATCATTCTTGCATACAAACTACCTCAGTGTATCATTTATATGCTAGACAACAAGGAGGAAATGATATTGAGAGCTCGACAACGGGTGCAACGCTTGAATTTGACCAACATTCGATTTATTCAGTGCAATTTGGATTATTTCATCGGTGACTTTGACATTGGCACGTCATTGCATGCCTGTGGCATTGCTAGTGATATCGTTTTGATGCATTGCAAACAGAGAAACGCTAGTTTCGTCTGCTGTCCATGTTGCTACGGAAAAGTAATTGAAATGCCACACATTTCATTTCCACGCAGCAAATTCTATCGAAGCAACAACATCTCGCTGGATGAATACTTTTGCATAGCACACTGTGCCGATCAAGCACACGATACGAAACGAGAACGGGTCAACATTGAGAAAAGCATACAAGGGCTATATTGCATGGACATCATCGACACAGATCGTAAACTGTATATGGAAGAACATGGCTATGATACTAAACTAACCAGATTACATCCAGAAGATTGCACGCAAAAAAATCGACTTTTAGTTGGCGTCAAACAGAAGAAATGATTTTTTTTTACTACAAATGATTTGTAATTGAATTGATAGATGAAAAAAAATGAAATAAAATCGATTGAAATATTTAATCTTTTGCTAACAAATTCAATAGAGTTTCTAACGTATGCCTGATCGTTATCAACAGTAAAAAAAAAGCTTGGTTATTCGAAAATAGCTCAATATGCAATATTGATCCATTCCTTTATTTTTTCCTTTTTTAAAAATATTTCCGATGCATTTTTCTCTTTGTATCAATTCAAAATCAGTTGAAATCTTTAATTATTCCCTGAAAATGTACATAGATTTTCTTTGCTTCATTCAATTCGCTTGTCAATTGTTTTTAAACAATTGAACATTGACAATGGTGTGAATTGTTTTGTCAAAAAGTAATTGTAGTTCAGTTTGCTTCTGTTTGAGACCAGTTTTCACGGACTGCATACAAATGTCAATAGAATTTCGAAAATGGCCGTTTGGTGTACTTTCAAACCGCTGTTCAAGTAAATCACACACATTGCATTCTCCAGAGGTAGAAAACATTTGTAAAGTTGAAGTTTTAATCAATTTTACCCCAAAATTTTTTTTATTTTATCTTTTTTCCAGTTGATTAAAGTGATATAAAGTTAACTTGTGTACCGAAAATTGGATAAAAATGGGAAATACTGCGAGTAAAAAGGGAAGCGTCATTCTGAAAACACCAGAAAAATCGGTTGCTGCGATGACCATTGACCAGTCGCCCACTACGAACGATTCGCACAAAGCAAACCAAATGGTTGAACCACAAACACCAGCCATTCCACAGACTCCATTGACCCAAACCATTGCCAGCCACTTGAATCGTATTACCAAAGACGATGTGAATCGAAATGCAACGATTAAGACTCCGTCATATTTATTACGGAAGAAAATCTTGTACGATTTGGGTTATACATATTCAATCAAAGACACCGATCCACGATCACCAAGTCTGTCCATTCCACGTACTCCATTGAATTTGGCTGAAAACTCCCCTTTGGTCACTGAAGGGCAAACCAGTTCATTTGAGTACAACACCACGCTTGAAGACAGCTGCCGTGATTTTAACGCAAAACTAGATGACATCACAATGGAAGAGAACGTTTTGACCAAAGGAACCGAACATGAAGATGATGTGAGCGACCAGATCGAAAGTGCTGGTGATGCGGAGGAAAAATTTGATGATAAACCAGCAAGTGAAGACAAGAAAAAGGAAAGCGTTGAGTTACACGATCAAAAGACACCAAATTGTGATTCGCAAACATCACCAGATTTTGAAAGCAAACACAACAACAAAATCATCTCAGCAAGCGATGCAAGTGAGACGGATTCGACTTCAAAAGCGTCTGAGGAAAATATCAGCCCAATGGAAGGCATGTATTCAACACCGTTGAACAAATCGAACCGAGTCGGAAGAATACCATTGAGCGTTATCAATCGTCGTGGTATGTCAGCTGAGATTATGCCACTGCATTCGAAACACACTCACGAACAAAACAGCGTCGACAGTTTCAAGAAGGATTTATCGTTCAATGATATTCGCGGCAGTGCACGCAAATCAAAAATTCCAGTGTTCAAAAAGTAAACCAATCACCCAGAGAGGCAGACAATCAGCAAAAGATTTTACTCACTCTTTTCTAAGCTTTGACTGATTTTCATATTTTTCTGAATTTTGAATCTCTCATTCCATTTATTCGTACATTCGTTTTTGATGTACAACGGTGTTGGTTATATTTCTTTGGAAAGTATTCAATCAAATTAGCTTAAGGAAAAAAATATTAAACATTTCTTCTTGTTTACAAGTTTTTTTTGACAGAAATATAATGCGTTTTATTTCAATTTATTTTTTTGTTTTATTTCTAAGGATCACATTAGCTATTTGCTTTTCTGCTTTGTATTTCACGTTCGATGTACTCTTCTATATCGTCGAGAGGTTTGTAGTACTGATGCACTAAATTCGATCCAGATATGAGTGACACAACTGATATCAACATCACTGCGGCCTTTGTTCTCCACGTGATTCCATTCATTTTGCGCAATTTATTTCTGCTTATTCTGGTGTCGATTCAGCTTTTAATCGTTCGTCAGCAATCTCTTTGGCTCGGTTCTTTTTAAAAGTTTCGTCTAAAACGGAAAATGAGAATGAAATTATTGGGTTATGATTACGGTGACGGTGAACTGTCACAGCTATTGGTTGAACAGCAACTAGTCGATGAAAAACATTTATTCCACGTTTTCTCCAAACTTTACTTACAAAAATTGTGGCCTCTAGGTCGCCATTTGATCATAGCAAATTCAAGGCCAGCTCCTGCGAATAAGAATACCGGCACAGGAATCAAATAGATTGCAATCGGCCGCTTACGTAAGAAATCTCGCAATGTGTACGATATCAATTTCATTAGAAATTGCGCCAATCAGACAATTTTCTTGTGAAATATCAAATCCAAATAATTTATGTCCAAATCTCAGATATGACTACAAATTATACCACAATTTATCTCTTTTTCAATGTTTTCATCAATTTTCATAATCAAAAGCGTGAATAAAAATAAAAACATACTGCCCACATTGTGTTGCCTGTTCGACGCTGACATTTGACAACATCTGTTTGACATCATTCGAGTGCGTTCTAGACTTTTGACCGAAAACTGTCAAACCGAATCGGATCAGTTGTGATGATTATAGACGGCGCTGCAATGTCATTTCTATTGCGTTTTGAATTTTAACGTTTAATTTTTATGTACGCCATGACACTTCAATACAAACGCCGTCAAGTTTAGTTTATATTTCAAATAACATCGTTTTGTACAAAAAAAAAATTTAGAAAATAATTTTTTATCATTAATTTTAAGTAACTTTTAACCATTTTTTTCGGAAGAATAACCAATTATTTAGAGCCATAATTGAAAGCATTTTCTAAATTGTATAAATTAAGGCAGATAACACGTTGTGATAATTTAGTTTGTTAGACGAAAATTCAAGAAAGTGAAAGCGACCCAAATTTATACTGTGAAACTGAACATTACCATAGATCTTTTATTTTAACAAGCACACACAAATTTTGATAATAGTCCGTGATAGTTTTGTTTATGCACAGTCATAAAATTTCGGAAAATTCCTATCAAATTTTGCCAAATATTTACGTATTTCAATACAAGTGGTTAGCTACTGTAAGCCAAATACGCAAATCTTCTCTATTGTCGTTGCTACAAATACAACGACAAAGCAGCTGTCGATTGAATGTATTAAGTGTGTGTAAATGGACCAAAACGCTGAAAGTGGTATCGATATGAATTCAAGCAGTGATATGCCCGATGACTTTTCATCACCGGAGCGCATAACCACAACTAAGCTAACACCAAGGACTCTGGTGTATGATGATATTGACGGTGATGAAATATCGTCTATGATTCGGCGTCGTACGCTCGGTGCATTCGCCAAAAATAATAATAACAACGATAATGACGGTGACAAGTCATCATTGGACGATGATGACGATACAAGTAAGTTGATCAGATGACAATACAACAGAAGAAACCATTGGAAAACATACATTCACGAATCTGATGTTTTTTTGTTTGCTTTTGAAGGGAATCCAATGATTCGGCCATTGCGAGCAACCGCAATAAGTCAGTCAAAAATGCATCTGGAATCACCACCATATCGCAAAGTACGTGCACTGCGACTGTTTGACACACCGGCAACACCCAAAACATTGATTAAAAAATCGTCGTTCGAAAACGGAGCACAAACACCAGCACAAAACAAACTCATTCGCAAGTCAATCCTATCGAATCTCGGCGGATTAGGTTCGCGCACACCAAATGTCACTGACCGACCAAAGGCATTACCCGTACATAACAAAGCGCTGGAACCGGTTACAGCCAACATTAATCCATTTTCACCATCAAGTAAGTCACATGATTTAAATGGCTTAACCGAATTTGAGACGATTATAATTAGGACACTTTATCTCATTATACGATCTTCAACCATGTTTTAGGCTTTATGCAGAAGAAAAAACGATCTCGAACAGATGAACAATGCCGATCCACTAGAAATAGCACCGAATCACTTATTAGCAAATCGAATTTATCAATTAGCTCAATAGACGAAGATATATCAGGTGGCAACACCACTGATGACGAATGGCAAGCACCGAAGCGATTGGCCTTGCAGGACTCAAATCTGCCGCGCTACGAAAAAGAATTTGTTGAACTGACGTTAATTGGTAGGTGGCACTCAAAGCAATTGGATTTTAAGAAACACAATCTTCTGTTGGAATTGATTTTGTTTAATGCTTGAGTATTAAAGCTGTTCGTCACTATTTCATTATCTAATCCAATTCCACGATTCCAGGGGAGGGTGCATTTGGTGTAGTTTATCAATGTTTAAATCGTTTGGATGGCTGTATCTATGCTATTAAACGGAGCATAAAACCGGTGGCTGGTAGCGTGTTTGAGTGAGTATCAATGAAATTGATTTCATCAATTCGTGGTCGTCAATTCTAAATGAATTTTTTTTTTCCTCGTCACAACTTTTAATTCGAAACAGAAAAAATGCCCTGAATGAAGTATACGCACACGCGGTGTTGGGCAAGCACGACAATGTTGTAAGATATTATTCGGCATGGTCGGAGAATATGCATATGTTAATACAGAATGAATATTGTAACGGAGGCAGCTTGCAAGCCTTACTCAAAGATCGTTCGTTGGTGGAAACGGAATTGCGCACAGTGTTGGCTCATGTAGCCGATGGTCTAAAATACATACACTCAAATGATCTCGTTCACATGGATTTGAAAGCTGGAAACATTTTCTTAACCAAAGCTCCGATTCGTGCACACGTTTCGCATCCGACCAGCACCAACAGTAATGGCACCACCGACAGTCATGACGATGGTTTCGAGGACATTTACGAAGAATTAGAAATGGAAGTGACATACAAAATTGGTGATCTGGGTCATGTAACAAGCATTCGAAATCCGCAAGTGGAGGAGGGTGACTGTCGATATTTACCATTGGAAATTCTACAGGAAGACTATTCACAGCTCGAAAAAGCTGACATCTTTGCGTTGGGCATAACATTGTATGAAGCCGGTGGTGGTGGTTCATTACCCAAAAACGGGCCCGTTTGGCATGATCTACGCGAGGGACGTGTACCCGATTTACCAAACATTAGCAGAGATTTCAACAAGCTAATTAAGGTACGTATCAGAATTCACAACTTGGTCTTATCGTTAACATTATTTTTACTCATTGCATTGGAATCATTGATTTTACAGCTTATGACACATCCCGATCCTAGCCAAAGACCAACAGCTGCTGAAATACTCAATCATCCCGTTTTGAATCCGACCGAAACGAAAACCAAACGGCAACTGTGCTATGAACTAAACATGGAGCGAAAGAAAAACGAGCTGCTGATGCGAAAGCTACGCGAAACAAAAGCACTTCTCAAATCATATGAGTTATCCAAAACTCCCCTTGCTAAGAAATACCGAAATAAAATAATGATCTAAATTTATAAATTATATGCAAAGATAGAGCCTATACTACTACAAAATAAGGGAAATAGATTACAATAAATATAACAGAGGAAAAAACACACAGAAAAAACTACACAACAACTCGAAATTATTTTGTTTCATTGATATTACATAGTATATTCTTTTGGCTGGGCAAATCGTCATGGAGATGGTGTCTGTTTACACGCTTTTTATTTTCTCCGCTGTTGTTTCATAAACAGTACGCAACGTAAACAGCAACAGTCTCTCGGTGAGTTTGTTTCAACGTATATATCAAACGAATCCAATCTATCATGTTGCTAGAGACTTAAACCGGCTGTAATTGAAAAATTTACGGCAATGAAACACGCAATATGCTTCCAACACCAAAGTGCCTCTTAAATACTTGCAATAATGTAATTTAATCAAAAATTTCATGTTTTCGAAATTATATGATTGCTGAGAAAATCAATCGACTGATCATAAGTGTGTATCGACAAACGAATTTTCGTTTCCTGAAATAGATGAACGCAGTAGCTTCGTTTAACTCGTATCGATATACACCCACATAAAGTTGAAATATATAATCTTTGCGATGCACTTTATGCTATCATTTCCTTCATGCACATTTAACAAAAATTACTCATAACCAATCTCTAGGTCAATCATACATACGGGAACGGTAAGTATCCGTAAACAGTAGGTATCCCTACTGGGAAATTATTATTCAACTATTTAAAGAAATATTCTTTGCGATAAGAAAATTGGTTTAAATAAAGATACTGAATCCAAGCAATAAGCATACAACTGATAATTCTCCGCAAGAGTTATTATTCATAGTAAAAAAACGTATATATGGGTAAAATTGATAAGAAACACTGATAAAGGAAGGATGCGTCAACAACAACAAAAAAGGCATCCTATTTTCAAACAAAGAACTTTTAATGCGGATTTTTTTAAGTGCTTTCAAAATGACAATTTCTTCGTTCTGAGTACAAGATAATGGTTTTTCATTAATAAGAGTGGAAACAAAACATCGAAGTCAAATTGTCGTATTCGGTTTTTGCACCACTTTTTTTTAAAATTCATTTACAGTATCAATTATTGTATGGATATTCTTTTTGAAGACTTCATTAGAAAAGGAAAAAAAAGAACTTTTGAAGACTTTTTTAATCAGACGAGTTTTTCATTGATATTCATAAAAGAAGAAACAAGATAAGCATAACATAAGAAAGTAATTTTAAGTTGCTGCAAAATCCAAACATAATCTGCACGTTCGTGATATTAAGCTAGTTGATAAGCGCAAATAAGTTGCTGCCTTGATTGGATTGCAATCGATGGCACAAGCCAATTGAATCGAGATTTAATCTTCTTCAGTTACATCACTGGCAATCAGCTAACGATTTTCGTCATTAATTCGATTCGAAGAAGGATCTTGTGCACACTGGACAATAACAATCAATGCAAAAGTTTATCTTAGTAAATTTTAAGTACACATTTTCAAGAAATGATTAAGCTAAGTAGATTTCTTCTTTTTTTTGCAATTTCGGTCACACCACGTTTTTCTTTTCTCTAGAAAAAAGATAAAGAATTTATACTTGCAAATAAATTCCATAGTTATGGCACAAGATATATAAATATTGCTGGCTTTTTTGGCCGATCTAAATACGACAAGTGGTTGCTGGTTTTAACGAATTCTTGCCACTCACCATTCGAGCGGTAAATCTAAGGAAAATTAAAATCGATCATATGAAAAACGGAAATTATTTCAACTAAACAACAAAAATTATTGATTTACCAGCGCTGAATGAGATGCGTGCGTTCGCGGTGTAAATTAGTCAAGTGTTTCATTGATATTCATCAAAAACAAAATAAACACTCATAGAAGCAAAAACTCTGATCAACGTTTATAAGTGGACATTCGATTTGGTGTCTATTCAATTCGTGACAATTTCTTCAACGCTCTTTCCATCTTTAAAAAATATACTCCAAAAGCAACCCAAGTCTTATGAACTTGAATGGGCTTTGCGAATTCACATATGATAAGATATGTATTATGCCTTTTATGTACCAGTACCTACATCGATATATACCAGGTTCATACAAATTTCGCGCCTGAAAACATGGCTTAAACGGTTTTTTTTTACATGAATCATTTCAACTAGCTTACTCTGAATTTAAATGGAATGGAATATTTGTTTGCTGTGATTCATTGAGTTAGGGACGTTCACAATATACAATATGGAGATTTTTCTAACGTTTGCCGTTAAATGTCAATATCAATTTTACGTAGAAAAAAAAAACAGAAGAAAAAAATATGAAAAAAAAAGAACTAGAGCAAATGTCGGTCAGTTTATGAAAGAAGAAAAGAAACCGCACCGAAACAGAGAGGCAGTTTTGCGAATGAAATACATGCGTAGAACAGATCAAACGAATAAAATTCAAGTTTTACACAAATTTTTATCGAATTGTTCGAGTTATTAGCTTATCTTAATGCAACAACTAAAAGTAATAGCATGTGGATCTTTTATCTATCAGAAACTGCAACAAAAACATTAATGTAATGTAATGTTTATTAGAATCGAAAATTTTTCTTTTTATACATATGTACAATATTCATATTTTTATGAGATGCAGTCTATCGGACTTTTCAGCATTTGAAATTTGGATTAATGTGTTTGTGCACAAATTTATTTGGCGGGGACTCATTTTTTCCCTTAGAAAAAAATTAAGAAAATTTTCGAGGCTGGTCCAAAGGTGCTGCTCGAACAATTTGATAGCGAATAAAATAACAAAACAAAACAAAAGAAAATAGGCGCTATCGAATAGTTCTCGATAAAAATTCAATTTAACGTGTCCACTAATTACTTCTTTGACAACGAGTCTTTTGTGTGATTTGATTTAAGTTAGATTCTATTTTTAGGACAAAAGAAGAAAAACGAGTTTTTAAGAAAAAAAATTCATCTTTCAATTTGAATCGCCTATTATATAAATGATGGCAGCCAATGTTGAAGTTGAGAACCTTAAAATAATTCGTTGAGTATGCAGCTTTGTACGTTTCAAATGTATTAAATTATCACATTCACTGCAGTGATACTCTCAGCTGTTGGTTACATTTCAGCTGCATCAAATGATTCAATTACAATAGGTGATTTCAATAAAAATTGACTTATTACTTTGCAATAATTAAATGATTTTGATTGGCATTGTGTAGCACACAAAGATCTGCATCAATGGACAGAGGTAGGCAACTCTCTAATTATCACTTTTTATTACTTATTTAATTTTTCTCATTAACACGCAGATTGAAGTGGCTTCAAATCCGAAAATAAAATACGCGGTTTGTAACAACTATAAATTGATTTTATTCCATTCAGTGTGATAGATTGCTAACTAAATTTCTATTTTATATTAAGCCCTTTTATGCTCCTCTTGAAATACTTCCAAACGTGTGTTTTGAAAATTATGCGCTAAAATTGGACTGTGCTATTGAGTCGTTGTCCAGAAAATTTAATGACATCCATGCTTGGAATGCGATCAAGCTTTATGGAAGAAATCAACCTAAATCGTTTGTTGGAGATGTTGTTGAATATTTAAATTGTTGTGACAAATCTTATGGCGGCAAAGTGAAAATATTTCTGAAGCCATTAAATAAACATCGAGACGATTTTTCTCGTCCACTTCCACCTACGCACTTTGGGGTAAGCTCTGTTGAACAAAAATGTAGTACTAATGACTTTATACACAACTCTATTTACCCATTCCAGGCAAGAAATTTATGCGAAGATCTATGTACTATGCAAGCGGTCCGTGATGCTGTTCTTCCAAGTTTTAATTTAGCTAAATATGAAAAAGTATTTAACACCACTCAAGCTGAACTTTTGAATATCGCCAATGATCCAATTCTTTTGGATGTTATATCAAAAATGTGTGAAAAAATGTTCAATGTTAAGATAAATTGTACATTTGAACGTTACAAAAAAATGCCAGAAGAAACAGAACGTAATTTAGTAGAATTTCTTCTCCAAACTTCGGTCGATGTTAAATATCATCTAAAATACAATGCTGAACAGGAAAGTGTAGTTTTACCAACCGGATATATTGAAAGTCCATATAAAGATAGGAACGAAAGTGGGGGATCTACTGTATAGTGGGTACCCGTGTGAAAAAGAAATGACTGACTGACTATAACTTCAGTTGACTTTAGTTGATTGAATTTATATTTTTGTTCTAAAAAAATCACTTGGTCCCAAATGAAGCAACTTAGATTGACTTGTAACTTCAAATGATTTCAGTTAACTATGATAGACTTACACTACACTTTGTACTGAAATGTCAATCAAAGTAAGTCATTTTTGTCCCAAATTAGTTAACTGACTGCTCAGTTACTATTTTTTCACACGGGTATATATATATACTGTGGGAGATTCACAGTGCTTTGCTTTAAATGTGAAACTCGGGCATCGACAATAAAAAAAATGATGTCTCATTCCATTTATCATCACAATTTTGCCTTCATTTAAATTGATTCTTTTCAAGTTATTAATCGATTTTATAAGTAAATTTTTTTTGGTAAAAACAATAAAATTTACAGAAGATGTATTTCGATTGAAAGAACAGAAATTCTATTCTGTCAAGCAACATTTTTCACGTCGCGCCTCTGCATATGATAAGATATGTATTATGCCTTTTATGTACCTACATCGATATATAACAGTTCATACAAATTTCGCGCCTAAGAACATGGCTTAAACGGTTTTTTTTTACATGAATCATTTCAACTTGTTTACTCTGAATTTAAATGGAATGGAATATTTGTTTGCTGTGATTCATTGAGTTAGGGACGTTCACAATATACAATATGGAGATTTTTCTAACGTTTGCCGTTAAATGTCAATATCAATTTTACGTAGAAAAAAAAAACAGAAGAAAAAAATATGAAAAAAAAGAACTAGAGCAAATGTCGGTCAGTTTATGAAAGAAGAAAAGAAACCGCACTGAAACATAGAGGCAGTTTTGCGAATGAAATACATGCGTAGAACAGATCTAACGAATAAAATTCAAGTTTTACACAAAGCTGATTTGCTATTGGTCAGCGTGCAAAGAATACGAAAAGAACTAGTTCAACCT